TTTGGCGGACGTTTCGACATGGTACTTGTCTTTAAAGAACTATTTTTGAGAGGTAAATTTTTATTTAGTAAAAAATAGAAAAAATTCTTCAGGTTTCACGCCTGAGATGTTGAAAAAGGGTAATAAAATGTATGAAATGAAGCTGATTTCTCGTGGTAAGAACAAAGGGAGCATCATTTTCCGTGACTCCTTTAATTTAATGCCGATGTCCTTGGCTGCTCTTGTCCCCGCATTTGCTCTTCAAGTGGAGGAAAAGCCATTCTTCCCCCACTTGGCTAACCACCCGAACAACTACGGCAAGGAGATCTTCCCATCACCATCAGACTATATAGCAGATGGAATGATGCCTGATAAAAGGAAATTATTTGATGAATGGTATCAACAACATCGCCATGAGCCTTTCAACCTGGAGGAGTCCCTAGCGGCGTATTGTACCAACGACGTGGAGATTTTAATGGCCGCTCTCATTGCGTTCCGCAATGAATTCATAGAGGTAAATTAGTTTAAAATATTAAATATTTTATTTTAAGGTTTCAAAGCGTGAAGCTGGACAACGACCAGCATCGAACAAGGGACATGAGGGGATTGATGTGCTTCGTGAGGCCATGACAATCGCGTCGGCCTGTATGAAGCACTTCCGATCAAACCATCTAAAGATCGACCATGTTGGCATTGTTCCGGAACGTGGGTATGATAATATCGAAAACCAAAGCAAAATAGCCCTGAAATTCCTTGAATGGTATGGAGAGGCAAATAATGTTCAAGTTCAGACTGCCATCTCTGCCGGCGGTGAAAAAAGGTAAAATTAAAAAATAAAATTAGAAAACTAAACCAAAATAATTAATTTAAGAGTTGGCAATTATCATTTGGACGGGTGGGTGGAAGATATGCAGCTTGGAATTGAAGTCAACGGATGCTGCTGGCATGGGTGCTCCAATTGCTTCCCCGATGACAACACTGTTTTACCCAATGGTAAAACAGCAGGAAAACAACGGGAATTGGATCAGCAGCGACTTAATTTCATCAAATCTCAAATTCCCAACATTGAAGTATATTGGGAGTGCGAGATCGAGAATATGGTGAAAAAAGACCGGGAAATGCGCCGCAAGTTTGAAACTTATGTTGATAATGGGCCTGTAGAGATTAGAAATAGTTTCTTTGGCGGAAGAACCGGTCCACTGAAACTTTTCTACAAGCCAAAGGATGGGGAAAGAATTAGCTACTATGATGTAACGTCCCTTTACCCGTTCATCAATGTATCGACCAACTACCCAATCGGACACCCCTCTGTCCATATTCTGAATGAAAATGTTTCTTGGACTTGCTCCGCTGACAACAAATACAATTTGGCCATTTTAAAGGTATTTTTATGCGTTTGAAAAATATATTAAGGTTTTAGGTATTTGTCATCCCTCCACGCAAGATTGATGTCCCGATCCTGCCTGTAAAGTTGGATGAGCGTCTACTTTTCCCGCTGTGTGCAACATGTGCTCGACTCTATCCGAAGGGCAAAGTCGAGGAGAACTACAACTGTCAACATACAGACGAGCAACGAGGCTGGGTGAGCACTTGTACTTCGCTGGAGTTGAACGTAGCACTTGATGAGGTATTTTTTAATATAAAGTTAATTTAAACTATTATTTTATAGGGATACATTGTTACAAAATTGTTCCGGGTTCTGGAATATACGGCTTCTGATAACGGTCTCTTCACTTCATATATTGCCGAGTTCATGGCGCAGAAAGTACATGCTTCCGGCTTTGACGACTCGATTAAGGGTAATATTGAAGCGGAGAACAACTTCATCAAAGAATGCGATGAAATGTTCAATATAAAGATCGAGCGGGAAAAAATGGTAAATTTAAAAATTTATTAGTTAAATTTTAAATATTTTAGGTTCCAAACAAGGGAAAAAGGACACAAGCCAAGCTGTGTCTGAACAATCTTTGTAAGTTCTATTATATAAAATTAAAAATAATTTTAATTTTAGGGGGCAGATTTTCACTGAGAAATTTTGGACTTTCTCAGTGTACAGTGACAGATGACCCTGTGAAGGTTAGAAATTTGATGGATGACCAGAGCAAAGAGGTGACTGGACTTGATGAGCTAACTCAGGATGTTGTGCTCATCAGCCATCTAACAAAAAAGGATTGGATTGAGGAGCATGACTGCTCCAACGTTGGTATGTTTTTTTGAAAAAGTTTTTAAAAAAAATAAAATTTCTAGTGATCTCTTTGTGGACCACATCCGCTGCCCGCCTTCATTTGTTAAAAGCAATGCAGCAGGTAGTTCGGTCTCCGGGATGCACATTGTTATATACAGGTAAAAATTCAACATAAGATTTAATTAAATATTAAAATTTAGACACGGATTCATTAATTTTCGCCCATCCGAATGAATCCTGCCCACTCGAACTAGGCCCACATCTCGGGCAATTCACTGATGAGTACCCGAGGCATGAAATTCTCGAGTATTGCTCGGGTGGCGCCAAGCAATATGGGCTTAAATTACAACGCAAGGACCAGATGGATGCTGCTCCAGAATATGTTCTCAAAATTCGGGGGATCACTTTGAACTGGGACGTTGTTGTCAACCAAGGAATGCAGTATGAGAATTTTAAAGATAAAGTTTTAAGTTTTGCTAATGAAGGATGTACCCCTATAAATATTGTTTACCCAAATTTTCTTAGGCCTACTGTAAAAAGAGGTGCTGTAATAACCCAATCTATGAAAAAACTTTATAAGCCTTTTGTCGGCAAGGGTGTTTTACGCCCGAGCGACTTTTCTGTTATTGATTATGGTTTTAATACTAATTAATTATTGTATCTTTCTTTCTTTAATTTATAATTTTGTAACTTAATATTTTCTTTTATTTATTTTAATAAAATTATCATGCAAAATTAGTGTAAAGAAGTAATTGGTTTTGAGGGCAAAATTACAGAATTAAGCAAAAGAAGAAAATATTTTAAGATTAAAGAAAAGAAGTAGTAGATTTTAGGGAGAAAATTGCATAATTAGTGCAAGGAAAAAACAATTAAAAATTTAAAATAACTGTTCTTAAAATTAACAATTATAAGTAGTCATTTTTAGAGGGAAAATTGCAGAATTAATAAAATGGAGATTAAATTTGGAAAAATTCATAAAAATTATATGTCTGTGTACACACAGACAATGTTCACGCACGTGTGATTACCAACCTTCCATCTCATCCAACATATCAAACTCTAATGGTTCATCGTTTTTGTCCGAATCAGAATTTGCCTTGTCGATTCGAAGTTTGTCTGAAACATCTACATATAGTGGTTTATCGTTGTCCTTAATTGGGAAGCTAATATAATCCTCTTCCTTATCATCGACCAGCTCGAGTAATTCAAGAGGGTAGTAGCGGTCCTCGCACCGACGTGGAAACTTTTCTACAACGCATTGGAGATAAGGATAACGTAGACGAATCCTATGTCTTGAATAGTAATGAGCCGTGACCGAAACATTGTAAGGACGAGACAGTGCTCCGTACGCCATTAATGTATGTGCTCCTTAATGAAAATTTAAAGTACTTGGTGGGTAATGATCGGAACCTTTATGCGTGAATCCGTGGAATGTGAAAGTTTTGCGGAAGTCGTTACGATCCGAATAAAGAGTTCGGACAATCCTTCCTTTGAGCTTCGAATGTAGAATGGCACGCTTTGCAGGGTGGTTTAAATGATCGCGAAGAGACTTTGGATGGCAATTAAGTATATCAGCGCATTCATCGATTAAATGACGCATTTTGAGAATTAAATGAATGAAATTAACAAAACTCGGGTTTATATACCCCTCCAAACACCCTCAAACAATCAATTATGATTTAAATAAGATTTTAATTTAATTAATTAAGATGGTCCCTTTTTCTTTCACACTTTATAATAAAAAACAAATGACCTTGGTAAACGGTCAATAGGTAACAATAATATACAAAAAGAAATTAATCGACAGGATTATTGAAGATTTATTCTTTACCTTTATTTTTATCTATTCTTTACCTTTATATTTTATTCATTTTATATATTTTAGTTTTATTTTTTAAATGAGTGAAATTGAAGAAATTAGTAGTGATCTTCTTACAACTCAGCGAGAATTGGGGATATTGTATATACGTGTTAGACGTATAGAAATTTGGGCGGAAGCAGAGGTTTGCATTTTTGAATTATATCCTAATAACTTTATATTTCCAGCTAAACTTCCCTCGCCCATTATTTCCATTGGATGAAACAATTGATGCAATACGAGATCGTATACGGGCTCGTGGACAGACATCTGGACAACAACAACAGCAGCAAAATATGTCATCAAACGAAAATGGTTAGAGATAAAATGTTTATTTGTATTAAGATTTTTATAATTAGGGCATGTTGACCAAGTTGTCCCACAACAGCAACGAACTCCTCCAAATGGTAGTTCAGGTAATTAATTTTAATATTTTTATAACTTTATAGAGTAATCTATAATTTATATTTTATAGATTTATATTTATGATTAATATTTATATTTATTTTTATAGATCAAGTTGTGCCAGAGCGAGAATAGTGATGAATAAATTGATAAAAAAAATTGTTAATAATGATTAATTAATTAATTAATAATTTTGGATAAATATATAAAATTAGTTGATTTTTTAGTTAGTAAAATTTCTGTGATGGTCCCTTAATATTTGTATTAAAATAAAAATATTATTCTTTTTGAACTTTAAATAATTGCCGCTTTTTTTATTGCGTGCCGTTTTCCTAAAACAGCTGGCGTAACTGATTTTTCGCCTATGACCTTGCGGGAGTAAGTGAGAGAATAGAGAATTTATTGTAATTTTATTCAAATAATGTTATACATCTCCTTTTATACACATTTCCTTGATTATCCTTTATTTTTGTTTTTAATTTTTATTGTTGTCCTTATTTTTCTTTGAATTTTTAATTTTAGAATTATTTCTAAAAAATGGAGAACAGCATAGATTTAGGTCTAGCAAAAATGATGGACAAATTAAGCCTAAGGGTTTCAAATTTGAGGGAGGACACCGTTGATATGCGGTCTATGGTCGAGGCCCACCACATACAAATCTCGAGACTACATCAAGATATTTTTGTGGATAGGGAGATGATTAGAAATCTCCAATTTCGTTTAGAAATGGTGGAGTATTGGGCTGAACAAGTAATTAATCTTTAATTTCATTAATTTTTTTTATTTTTTAAGATTGGGATTGGAAACTTCAACATAATATTTCCGGCTGTAGATGAAGAGTTGATACATCAGTATCAACAAATGGAGGTGGATCCTCCAGAAGAACAACAACAGGTTGAAAATCCTGTAAATGGTGAAGAAATGGATGAAACTTGGAGTGAGGAAGAAGAGGTTGCAATGGACAACCAGTAAATTTTGAATTTTTATAAAAATTAAATTTGGAAAAAATATTGTTTTGAATTAGGGTTGTTCACGACGGTTTTAAACCGAAAATTTTTGTTTTTTGTCTATAGTTAACCGTTTTTATGAAATTTAAAAAAACCGAATTTAAAACATTCCTCTAAAACACAACCGGTATTTGACTCGAACTCAAAACAAAAGACCGGATTTTTAAAATTTGGATTAACCGAAAAAAACCAGTTAATAACTAGTAGTGAACAAACCTAGTTTGAATGTTTGTTAAATTATTAAATTTAAACTTGAACTTATTAATTTCGGAAAACTTTTTTAATTTTAAAAATAAAACTACTTGATAGATTCACACTATTTAATTTTTAGTTCCATAATTACCTTATAAATATAAAAATATATAATTGAAAACATTTATCCAAAAAAATTAATGTAGCATTAAGTATTGTGTTTAGTGTTTTATTTGTTTGATTTGATGGAAAACAAAACAAGGAAAGGCTCAACGCAAGACATATGTCTGCGTCTGTACCTTTCCTTTATGGAACCACTCAACGCTAGTCAAAATGACTGCGTCTGTGTAGGACCATAATACAGAATTCAAAAATATATTACTTTTTTATTTCCCAAAAATTCAATTATTACTTTTTATTTTACAAAAATTCAACTCTCAAATTAAATAATTCTAACTAGTGTAATAAAAAAGTAAAATGTTAAAAACAAAACAAGGAAAGGCTCAACGCAAGACATATGTCTGCGTCTGTACCTTTCCTTTATGGAACCACTCAACGCTAGTCAAAATGACTGCGTCTGTGTAGAACCATAATACAGAAATTCAAAAATTTTACTTTTTTATTTCCCAAAAAATATACCTAATTGCTAAATATAAAAAAATTTTTACCCCTGCAGCATTTCTTTCCCCGTATTTTTCAAGTAAAGCCGGACACTTTGATTTTGGGTGATCAAGATGTTTGCAACGATTTTTTTGAACAACCGGTAATATACGAGCAGCTTCATTAATACCACGAGGAACATTGTCTAAATTATACATTTTAGAATGCTTGAAAATATTACGGGTTTTTCTAAAACCTTGTATGACAACTTCCTCCTCAGGGAAGACCTCTTCCTCATCTACAATAACCTCCTCATCGTTTACAATAACCTCCTCCTCCTCTACATTTTCATTTAAAATAACAATAGTTTCGTTGAAAGAAACTTCTTTTCCTAATAATTATTGATTACTATTCATTTTTTTTATAATTAGATAATTTTACTTTGTTTTAAAACTTCAGCATCGGCGTCCCGCAGAGAGTCGGTCTCAGTCTGCATTGCACCTTTTTCCATTTCTTTAACTTTTTTTTTCAAAGGTCCTACAATATTATGTAGGATTATAAAAATTATATAGATACCTTTACTTTGTTTTAAATCTTCAGCATCGGCGTCCCGCTGAGAGTCGGTCTCAGTCTGTACAGCACCTTGTCCCCTTTTTTTAACTTTTTTTTTCAAAGGTCCTACAATATTAAGTAGGATAATAAAAATTATAATAATATAAACCGGCTTTAGTAATTGATTCGAGTGAGCATAAGGTTGGTGGAGCGACTCGACGTCGCGGTTGATCGACTTGATTAAAATATAGATAAATATTTTTTTAAAACCTGGGGGTTGTATTGAGGAGGAACAGCTTTGGACATAACTTCCATGCGGGAGTCCTATATTCATTAGAAAATTTGAAATAATTAGAATAAAAAGTACTTGTTTGGGAGCGGGTATAAGGTTTCTCGTACGGATCGTTATCGTCTGAATTTAATTAAATTAATATCTATATCCATAAATAAAACTAACAATCAGAGTCATCAAATGTTTCTTCTACTTTTTTTTTCAAACCAAGTTGTCTTGACCTGCCTGACATTTTAGTTATTATAGACGAACAGCTGTTTGCACTTCACGAGAAGAGATGGTAGAGCGCTTGTTGTAATGCGTAAGTCACAAAGTCTCAGTAATAATTAACACGAACAGGTTAAATAATCCCAACAATAGTTGTTGAAGGAAAATGTTAAAAAGAAATTTTTAATTAAAATTAATCAAAACAACTCAAAAAATCAAAAATTTTGATTAAGTTGAGTGAATTTTATTAAAAAGAGAAAATTTTTCCCAAAACTTATCTAATTTTGAGAAAATTTTTCATGGTTAAGTGGTATACGGGTGGGGATTTTAAGAGTAAGGTTCGAACCCTTTTGTGGTTTATAATTTTTAAAACTATAAAAAGAGTATATAAAAGAGACCTCACGAGAAGAAATGGTAGAGCGCTTGTTGTAATAATCAAAAATTGTTTAAATAAATATTTAGGAAGAAATTAGTAAAAATTTGTCAACAAATTTTTAAAAAACTTAAAAATATAATTTTACAATTTTTTATAAAAATTAAAAAAATCTGAAAAATTAATAAAAATGATGGAAAAAATTTTTTATACATTATTATTTATGCAATCAATCGAAGGAGAGAAGAAAAGTACTCTGAGAAAAACGCTTGGCGTCTTTTCTCAGTGTATTTTACTTCTCCCCTTTTCCCTTCTTCTACCTAGGCATAGAATTATTTAAATTATTTTTTACTAAAAAAAAGAATAAAATTTTTCGCGCACAATTTAACACCTTAAAATTTTCCCTTACCCCTCCCTCGAACCAATTAGTTAAACAATTAGCATTTCTTGATAATAAAAGTTCCCCCTTACCCCCTCCCCAGTCAATTAGTCAACTAATTAACACCTTGAAATCCCCTTACACCCAACCCCGACCAATTAGTAAAACATTTAATTCTTTTCCCCTTACCCCCTCCCCAACCAATTAATAGAACAATTAACACCTTAAAATCCCCCTTACACCCAACCCCGACCAATTAGTAAAACAAATTGTTTTCCCTTGCCCCCTCCCCCTAATTAATTCAAAACACCCCATTAGGATTGGATTTCCTCTTACCCCCACCCCCATCGCGCGCCAAAACCCTTCAATAGGCTGACGTTTATGGGGGCGGACCCCTCCCCCAACCAGACCCTTCAATAGGTTGGCGGCATTTTCCTTTGATACGGTTACGGGAGGGTAACTACTTATGATTACATATAAAATTTGTAAAATTTTTAGATCTAACAACATAACATAAAAATTTCAAACATATAATAATTCTTTACTAATATTTTAGATTATTTATTATCTGATATTAAATTAATTTAATTAAAAATTTAAAAGATGTTAGATTCTGCCCAGAGTTTCTCATTCGATTGTATATAGTCTCTATTAAATTTTTGTTTTCTTCCTTAATTTTTTAAATAATTTTTCTAACATCTATACATACTTTTAAATTAAGTAATGTTAACTTGTTTTTAATTATGATTTGTATGTTATTTTACATTAAAAATTTATAATCATATATTTTATTATGCGAGTAAACTTTTATTTTTAACAGCCAAGTTAAAGAATATTTATATAACACATTAGAAAATGAAGCAAGAACTATTTATCATACAAGAAGTTACATAAAATAAATTAATAAAATCTTTATAATATAAATAAGCTACTATATTTTAGATTTTTTATTTTACTTAATTATGATTCGAATTTATTTATTTCTACCATATGTAAAACATAATAAATTGAAGTCGACTTGAATAATTATTTGACATGATTGTACTAGGAGTAGAGAATTAGAACCAGTCAGACTATTGAATAAATGAATTTCGCCTTGCTTTCATATGTTTAATATTTAAACGACAAAGTAATTAATATAAAGGGTACGGCAAATTAGCGGCCGCTTTTCTTTTGGCTATAACTTTTTTGATTTTTAATAAAACCGATAATTCTTTTTTTTCTGTTTCCTGATACTCTAAGAATTTTTCTGATATCAAAATCGCTTTCAAATTTGATAATTTAGTCTGATTAATCATCTCTCAAAGTTTAAGTCAAATTTTTTAAATATAATCTGGCCTGGATTCAAGGCTATTATTTTTATAAGAGCTGTTTCGAATGACACCAAAATCAGGTGTCTATCACGTAAATGGACCGAGATATGGCTTATTGAATGATTTATTAAAATAATTTTGGCAAATACAAAATTTTTGAGTAAAATTTTCAAGAATGAAATTCTAAGCTAATTCGATGCGCCTGAACAATACGAGTCGATTGGTACTAAAATCATCGGGATTGAATCATTTTTATCGAAGTTATGATCAATTAAAGTTTGGCACGAAAAAATGTTTTTTGATGCTTTTAAATGTTTGGACCGGCTTACCTTTACCATATGTGAACCAAATTTTTATTTTTTGGTACCAAAAAAAATTCTTAGAGTGCTGGGAATCCAGTAAAAAAAGAATTAGTGATTTTCTTTAAAAATTTAAAAAGTTATAGCAAAAAGAAAAGCGGCCGCCAATTTGCCGCACCCTGTACTATTTAATGTATTTTTATTAATTTCAAATTTATTCCATCTTTTATTTTCTTAAAAAATTTTCAGATATTTTTTAATAATAAATTAACTTTAATAAAATAGTAATTTATTTTTATAAAATTGATTCTTGGACTAAATTTAAAACGGCAAAGTAATTAATATGCAATTTTAAGAAAACTACTTAGCAATTTATGCTAGGGAAGTGTATACTCTTTGTTTTTCGACGGTAGAGCAACTTTTATCGGCCCGTCTTATCACGCCTTATATTTTTCAGAAAAAGTTCGTAGGCGATTTTATCGTCATTTTGGCATGGGCATTCACTAATTCCTATCCCCTCAAGATTCCAAAAATTTTCAATAGTTTCATCCGAAAATAATGTATTCATTTGTATATTTTTTGCTGTTTTTTCAATTGATTTATTCTTTTTTTTAATTTTAATTTGGTCTTTTAAAGAGCGGAGTCGAGCGGAATACATTCCCCCAATATTAAATTTCTTTGCATTTTCAGGCTCAACTGGAACAGGAGTGCAAATAAAAGGGTATTTACTTTTACATTTGCATTTAATGTTTGGGTCC